GTGTGAAAACCCAAATAAAACTTTATTAAAAAAATAAAGAATATTCAAAGATTCAGAATGAGTAGAATTAAATATACTTAAAAGTAGAATTAAATATATATTTAAAAAAACCACCAACAAATGGAGAAACAAGATGACCTGAATTCATGTGAAATTAGAATTGGTCAGAAATTGAATGATTTATCTTATCTGAGGTGTATGACTAAAATGGCTGTCACAATCACTTATTTGCAGGTTATCATCTCTTGAAACTCAGTTGCAGAGGTGATTTATTTGAATTTACTTCAGATCAAATTACAAGTAGTCTCGCCTTACAACTGTAGTTGAGCCCTGGATTAGGGTCATAAGTCACGGCAGTTGTTAACAACTGTGTTTGATTTTACAACTCTTTTTAACTGTGCTTGTTAAATGAATGTTGTTATATGAACCAGTTTTCTTCAACTGGTATTTCTTTCCAGAAACTGGAAATAAATGCTAGAAACCAGCCGAAAAAAAAAAAAGGCAAAAATTATGATCCTATGAATCAATTGCCAAATTCTGAAAATGTGATCGTGTGACCATGGTGTGTGCGTGTGTGTGTGTATGTGTGTGTGTATAATTGTCAGAAGTCCAGAACTGAGTTATAAGTAGCGCTGGGGAGATCAGTTGTGATTTGGAATGATCACCAAGCAACATGTTTTTAATTACTTATACCCATTCAAAACATTAGGCAGTTCACTGGTCCTTTTCTGTCTTTCGTTGATGCAAATACTAATACTAACAAGAACAACCACAGGATAATGTTAAGAAGTATACAATTTTAGATAAAAAACATATATTAATCAGAGAAAGCTAGCTAAGAAGGCTGCTTGATAAACTTTGACCAATTTTCTCTCATTTAACCATTCTCGGTTTAACATAAATCATAGGTTTGTTTTGACTCTTAACAGGAGCATGAGAAAATGTAATGCTTTGAAAGATGGCTGATTTATAAATGCACTAAAAAAGAACATGTTGGCATTTTTCTTTATTTCCATATTTTTTCAGAAGTGGGTGGCAAATATATGTTAATAAAATAATTAATCTTCCTACAATCTAGGGCCTAGATTCTAGGCAGAATAATGAAGTCTGATTTTTTCTGTCATTGTGTAAGATGATAGCCTGGGAAAATGTTTAAAGAAAAAAAAAACAGCAAGACACCTAAAATAGCTGTGTTTCTTCTTTCTTTGCATATTGGAACATAATAACACTCAGCCTGCTTAATTAGATGACATTTTACAGAGTGTTCTTAATGGGAACAAATTACGGTACTATTGGCACCTATGTAGTGCTATATTTTACAGCATATATTAGTTTAATATGCAGGGTATTTGCACAATAAGGTTGTTAAGTCTGTTTGCTTTGCTCCAGTTGATAGCTCCGTAAATGCCAAAATAAAATAAATCTTGGAGGCTTTTGTTTTGTTTTGTTTTGTTTAAAACAACAACAACAACCCAGCAGCTCTTCTCAGTTTACCACATGCAAACCTTTTGCTGGGTTTCCCTTCTGTACGGTGAAGGGAAAAAGTAAATATGTCTTCAAAATGAAAAATATATAGCACAGATCTCCTTTTTTGCTTAAAAGGATAGGACACCTGATGTGATTTTCCCTTTCATGGTCTCAGTCAGCCCTGGGTCCCTTCCTAATGCTACAGCTAAATCTGCCTTACGGTTAAGGAGCAAAAAGTAAATGTTGATTTTGGAGATAATCTTTGCAAAGGTACAGCTTTTCCTGCCCAGGGGAGAAAACTGAGCCCATATAATGGTTTATAGGAGTGACATTGAAAGACAAGCAGAAGAACTGCAAAATAGACAACAGGCAGATAAGTAGCAGTTGAGTCCACAGAAGGAATAGGGATAGGACAAGCATCTCATAGGACAAGCATCCTGGACCCTCCTTAGTTTCTTGAATTGTAAAGAAGAAGGAGCAGAAATGTACTTTAAGATTTGCAAGGTTGTGTTAATGTAAAGACATACTACATATAATTATATACAGTTAGTACTTCCGAGAGTCAGAGAATCATAGGGTTGGAAAGAACCTTGGAGATGTTCTAGTCCAACCCCCTCCTCAAGGCAGGAGATCTTATATCTGTGATGGTGAACCTATGGCACACATGCCGGAAGTGGCACATAGAGCCATCTCTCTGGGCATGTCAGCCATTGCCTGTTGTTCTTCTGGGTTCTGGTGCATGCATGCATGCATGCATGCCAGCCAGCTGGTCTTTGCATGCGTGGGAGCGCTGGAAACTGAAAGAGCAGCTCACACATGTGCGCCTGCCATCTGGTCTATTCCTCCAATTCAGATAGAGGTAAGATTTTTTTAAAAAAAACACCTCAGAGCAAACTCAAATTGTGGCAGTTTCATAAACTACACAAAACATGTAGTTTCCTTGTCAACAGGACAAAAGTAGTTTTCCTTTGTCTGCTTTTAAAATGTTATTCCTCTTTCTCAATCTAGTTTTAAGTGGTGGGATTTCTTGATAATCTCCTGTCCAATTAATTAAGATGGCCAAAGTCAGAAAATTGCTGAGGCTTAAACGATAGAGCTTGCATATGCTCAAGAATATTCCTTTCTTCCTTATCACAGGTAACAAACTGGATGTGTTGTTTAATTTCACACATGGAGGTAGACATTGTTATAAAGCATGACAGTGGAGGGAGAATGTAAGTGGTGTAATTAGTGTAATGAGCAGCAGAATCATTTAGAGTTTTGCTCCACCTTCAATTCAGACAGAAACGAAAATGATCTAGTTATTTCAGGTCTACATCTGTGGCTAGGAATTGATAATCTATATCTTAACTTCTTATAGTTCTTTCTTAGCCCATTGTCTATTTCCATTTCTGCTTCCTGATCACTGCTTCCTAGAACCGCCTATATAGGATCGATGAAGGTTTGCGGCTTCTAGGAAGCCTTTATTGATTTTAAGAATGGTTACAGGAACTGGGCATGGCTAGTCTAGTGATGAGAAGGACTAGGGGAGACATGATAGCAGTGTTCCAATATTTGAGGGGCTGCCACAGAGAGGAAGGGGTCAAGCTATTTTCTAAAGCACCAGAACGCCAGACAAGGAATAATGGATGGAAACTGAAAAAGAAGAGATTTAACCTGGAAATAAGGAGAAGCTTTCTGACAGTGAGAACAATCAACCAATGGAACAGCTTGCCCTCAGAAGTTGTGGGAGCACCATCACTTGAGACTTTCAAGAAGAGATTGGACTCCCATCTGCCAGAAATGGTGTAGGGTCTCCTGCTTGGGCAGGGGATTGGAATAGATGACCTACAAGGTCCCTTCCAACTCTGATTATCTGTTATCTGATCTTGCACAGACAGTCCTTGATCTACAACCACAATTGAGTCCAACATTTCTGATGCTGAGAC